TGGGAGGCAGGGGGGCACACTGAGCAGAGTATCCTGAGAGGCAGGCGAGCACACTGAGCAGAGTACTGTGGGAGGCAGAGGGGCACACTGAGCAGAGTATCCTGAGAGGCAGGCGAGCACACTGAGCAGAGTGTTGTGGGAGGCAGAGGGGCACACTGAGCAGAGTATCCTGAGAGGCAGGGGAGCACACTGAGCAGAGTATTGTGGGAGGCAGAGGGGCACACTGAGCAGAACATAGTGGGAGGCAGAGGGGCAAACTGAGTAGAGTATCCTGGGAGGCAGGGGGCACACTGAATAGAGTACAGTGGGAGGCAGAGGGACACATTGAGCAGAGTATACTGGGAGGCAGAGGGGCAGACTGAGCAGAGTATCGTGGGAAGCAGAGGGACACACTGAGCAGAGTATCGTGGGAGGCAGAGGGGCAGACTGTGTAGCTTGTAGCTTCCCCCCGGTGGAAAACAGAAGAGGGCCCCAACCGACAGCTGACGGAGCATAATTAATGAGTGAAGGGGGCACTCATCTCGGTGGGGGGATGGGAGAACCGAGGGGCCCAGGAATCTCCTGTCTCCCTAAAACGGGGAGCGGCACTGAGCACACTGCAGCTGCATGCCATTTAGCAAACCCCCTTTGGGGATGATTGGCGATTAACACAGGAGGAGCTTGTCTGAAGTAGTCGGGGGGGAGGGGGGGGGTCGCAGAAGAATAAGCTTCCTTCCTCACGCTGAGCCGGTGTAGATGCAGTCATTGATGTAGTAGCTGCTTAATTGCCTTACTGTGCAAGGCATCATGGGAGTGTTTTTCTTCTCTTATAATTGGGTCTTTTGGTCACCTCCGCTGCCTATTGTGGAAACATTTAATTTGCTTCAGACACTTTTATCCAAAATGACAAACATTTTTGAGAAAGCAGGGTCTGGATGTTGCTCAGGGCCCAATGGTGACATCACTCTGCCGACCCCAGGATTTAAACCAGTGACGGTCTAATCAAGGGCACAGAGTACTGACCTGCATGACTTCATGCTGCCCCCACTCCTCCATCCATCCATCCATCCATCCATCTAAAGCTCTTTCACTAATTAGGGCTAGGCTTGTTTTTGATCCAATGCTTGTAATACCCTGAATGGTACATCGTTATTTATGTAACTACTGAATTCAGAACTCTCACAGGCATCAATAAAGGTGATCTTAGTCCTAATCTTAAATGTCCTTTATTCTGAAAATTTCACAATTTCACATATCTTTTTGTGCATAAATGATTTATATTTCTAAATGTGTATCTGATCATCTCAGCCTTGGAAATGAGGCTGCGAACCTCAGCTTGATCATTCCTGAATAAACAATGAATAAAATCAACGTAAGGTGTCAGTGGTGCTTTTTTGCATAACCACTTGTTGACTGACGCGACTCAGGTCAGGTGCCTTGTCTTGATGGGCACCACAGGGAATTGGATTGCAGGTGTCCATGTGACCACCTTTTTCACCAATCAGGAGGAAGCATGAAAATGTGGGCACACTATATATGTGAGAGTGGATCAGTCACAGGCCCCTCTGAGTCAAACCTCTATAAATAGTGCAGTTCTGTGATCTCAGGGGCAAATGCCCAGCAGTGGGAGAGAGGAAAAGAACCAAAATAATGGTCTGGTGATATGTTGATTATTAAAGTGCTGGGAAAGCAGGATAAGCTGCCCTACTGTGGGCATTGCAGTGCGGGGGCCCGAGGGAATCAACGCAGAATCATGGTGGGAAAGCACTTACCGGGCCCTCGCCTGTAACGGCGCAGTTATATCTCAGCCGCGCACTCGGGCTCAATCTCGGGCTCAAAGCTCTAAGCCTCTGGGCAAGAGAGACGCAAGGGACAGAGAGGCACCACCTGTGAATGAGTAGATAACAAGATGAACGAGAGGAGGTCTGTGAGGATTCACTGGCCTTTCTACTTCTGCGTCGTTCGACGGCAGCAGGGCAGCTGAGGTCATCGGCGGGATTCAGACGCACCAAGGCTATGCGAACCTATCACATGGTTCTCATGTACATGAATTGCAGTGAGATGATTTATTTATAGATCACAACCTGTCCTTCCTAAAGGGTGGCACCTCTACAGCCAGTCACACACTCATTCTGTCCAGAAGACAGCGGAGATCCACCCCTTTCCGCTGCTGTCCGTTCTCAGGTGTCAGGCGGCTCAAAGCACATGTTACTGTACCGTTTGTGGAGGAAACAAGTCTAAAGTTTCCTGGATAAAAGAAAGAAATAAAGAAACAAAGAGACACTGAAGCTCTCAGAGATGAAATTCAATCTATTGTTCTCAAAAGGGAATGCAGTGCATTTCTTAAAAATGTTTTATTTTAAGGCAACGTGCATGTGAATGATAGGAGCGATATCAGGCATGTTCCTGCAGACCCTGGGTGCTCTGTCTAAAGCGTGTGTGTGGGTCTCTACCTGCTGACCCTGGGTGCTCTGTCTAAAGCGTGTGTGTGGG